GAAAAACCCCCAGGACCTCTTCCAATCTGTCCTGGAGGAAAATTCCTTCCCAACCCCAAATATGGCGATCAGCTGAACCCTGAGCATGTGGGCAAGATTCACCAGCCAGATACCCAGGAAAGAATTCTCTGTAGTAACTCAGATCCCACCCCATCTAACATCCCATCACAGGCCATTGGGCCTATTTACCATGAATAGTTAAAGATCAATTAATTGCCAAAATCATATTATCCCACCATACCTTCTCCTCCAGAAACTATTGAGTTTAATCTTGAAGCCAGATAGGTCTTTTGCCCCCACTGCTTCCCTTGGAAGGCTGTTTCAGAACTTCTCTCCTCTGATGGTTAGAAACCTTCGTCTAATTTCAAGTCTAAACTTCCTGACGGCCAGTTTAAATCCATTTGTTCTTGTGCCCACATTGGTACTGAGCTTAAATAATTCCTCTCCCTCTCTGGTATTTATCCCTCTGATATATTTATAGAGAGCAATCATATCTCCCCTCAGCCTTCTTTTGGTTAGGCTGAACAAGCCAAGCTCCTTGAGTCTCCTTTCATAAGACAGGTTTTCCATTCCTCGGATCATCCTAGTAGCCCTTCTCTGTACCTGTTCCAGTTTAAATTCATCTTTCCTAAACATGGGAGACCAGAAGTACACACAGTATTCCAGGTGAGGTCTCACCAGTGCCTTGTATAATGGTACTAAAACCTCCTTATCTCTACTGGAAATACCTCACCTGATGCATCCCAAGACCGCGTTATCTTTTTTCACAGCCATATCACATTGCCGGCTCAATGTCATTCTGTGGTCAACCAATACTCCAAGGTCCTTCTCCTCCTCCGTTACTTCCAATTGATGCGCCCCCAGCTTATAACTAAAATTCTTGTTATTAATCCCTAAATGCATGACCTTACATGTCTCACTATTAAATTTCATCCTATTACTATTACTCCAGTTTACAAGGTCATCCAGATCCTCCTGTATGATATCCCTGTCCTTCTCTAAATTGGCAACACCTCCCAGCTTTGTATCATCCACAGACTTTATTAGCACACTTCCACTTTTTGTGCCGAGGTCAGTAATAAAAAGGTTAAATAAGATTGGTCCCAAAACCGATCCCTGAGGAACTCCACTGGTAACCTCCCTCCAGCCTGACAGTTCACCTTTCAGTAGGACCCGCTGTAGTCTCCCCTTAACCAGTTCCTTATCCACCTTTCAATTTTCATATTGATCCCCATCTTTTCCAATTTAACTAATAATTCCCCATGTGGAACCGTATCAAACGCCCTACTGAAATCTAGGTAAATTAGATCCACTGCCTTTCCTTTGTCTAAAAAATCTGTTACTTTCTCAAAGAAGGAAATCAGGTTGGTTTGGCACGATCTACCTTTTGTAAAACCATGTTGTATTTTGTCCCATTTGCCATTGACCTCAATGTCCTTAATTACTTTCTCCTTCAAAAATTTTTCCAAGACCTTGCATACTACAGATGTCAAGCTAACAGGCCTGTAGTTAGCCAGATCACATTTTTTCCCTTTCTTAAAAGTAGGAACTATGTTAGCAATTCTCCAGTCATACGGTACAACCCCTGAGTTTACAGACCCATTAAAAATTCTTGCCAAAGGGCTTGCAAATTCATGTGTGAATTCCTTTAATATTCTTGGATGAAGATTATCTGGGCCCCCCGATTTAGTCCCATTAAGCTATTCGAGTTTCGCTTCTACCTCAGAAATTTTCATTATGTTCCTTTTTAGTTGGATGTACTTAGAGAGCTGTGTTTGTTTTTCAGATACTAAATTTAGTGCTCCCTGTCTATATTCATAGTTTCGTTGCATGCCTAACACCCAGGGTAAATACCATTTATAGAATGACAATGCAGTTTCTTTAGTTACACTTTCCTAACTGCTGAGCAGTAGCGACATGCTATGAATACTCAATCCTTCACAGGCGACTGACATAAAAACAAATCTCCTTTGGGGAACAGAGCCCAAGGTGAGCGAATTGGCCTACGAAGGTGATACGTTTTCATCTGTTAAATGCAAAAAACAAAAGCCAATCCAGTTCTCTGGACAAACAATTGCACTGCCGAGAGCTGTAGGGAGATGTAACGCGGGAGAAAGCAGTACATTACGGTTTAATGTTCTGGACAAGACACACTCGTATAAGTGACTTTAAATTTTGGGAAGAAGGGTTTTGAATTTTTCATTCTCCATCCTAGCAACTCGTGACAGCCTCTAGCTGTCCCTCTGCACCTGTTCAAATATCTGTCATGACATCCAGCAATGGACGAGCATGTTAGCTTGATTTTTTGTTCAAATAGTTAGCGATCTGCTGATCTTTAGATCTTCATCATCCTGTTTCAGTGTTAACACCCCACAGCGATGAACGGGAAGAGTTCATGCTTGCATGTGAGCTATTTTGTCTGTCTGTACGTCTGCAGACTCAGGCAGGTATCACTGAATTGATTTACAATCCGTTTACATTTTGAAGGTGACGTTTGCAACCAAAATGGCAGGAGACATTTTTTTTAAAAATCAAAGGTTAAACTCTGGAGTACAATTATGCAGTAACTTTAAAAACTACATAATATGGTGATTTGCCCAGTCATACAACTGCCTTTCATGCTTGGCCTCGTAAAATAGTGAAAAATGGCAAAAACTCCTGAGCTGGCTATTTTATAATTTCCAGTATTGTTATTACCAGTGATGTAGTCTGGGTCCCTGGTTCTGCTGGTATAAACACATCCCTATAGAATACAAACATACCCTACATGCAAAGAGTATGAGACATACAGCACATCTTCCATATAACAACCAGGGCAGCAGGACCTGAATGCACATGTCTTGAAAATGTAACTGCTCCTGTTGATGGATGTAAGAAACAGCAATTATTCCACTCCACAGCAATCGAAGCCACTTTGCTACCAGCCCCTATGGAAAGCTACATTTTTTATATTGTTTGTTTGAATGCTTTGTAAATGTTTTCTTTACATTATAAATGAACACTAAAGGGTGATCGGGAAACTAAAAGATTACTGGGACCCATGTTCTTGGTATTGTACGCCTGACACAAATCAGTCTCAATCTTCCTTTTCCAGTGAAGATTAGCAAGGCGATTTTGGTAGGGTGGGACTGGCCTCACCTAACATCCTCAGCCGCTTATGCTCTTATTTCAGGCCTGGCTGTGATGCAGACACATCGCTGTCCGCATTCACTGGTGGATACCTTGGGGCGAAGGGCAAACGCTAAGTGCCTCATTCAGCTCTCATTTAGACCGGCCATACAGCTGCAGAATTACTCCTGATTTACATGGAGTGTGAATTCAACAAGTTACCTATTTTGCCCTCAAGACTGGATTACTGCAATGGTCTCCAAATGTGATTGCTCTAGGGGTCGCACTTGGAAAGTTTGGTTAGTGAGGAATGTGCTTGCTTGCTTACCTAGCAGTACTTCCTGCCTAGAACATGCTACTCTGGCAAGCACTATAGGTCACCCAAGCTCCCAGGTGGTTTTTGGTACAGTTCAAGTCATTGTTCTTTAGCTCGAAAGCCCTTTGTGGATGGTGCCCTGTGCAGCTTAGAAATAGCCTCTGCCTTCTGGCTTTCACCCAGCAGGGATGCTGAGACTGGTGCTCCGAAAGAACATCTGAAATGTGGGCAGGGCACCCTGGTGAGACCCGACCTAGCTAAGATACTTGTGTGGCATCAGGAACATCATATCCGAGCATCTTATGGCTGTCAACTCTTCACACATGCCTGGGAGGTGGGGACATGCTGTGTCTCACTTTCCAGGTGGGGCAGTGAGGTATAGTAGGAGGAAGGCCTAGATTCACAAAGGGACTCAGGTGCCCAAAGCCCAGATTTCAGTGCCTACGTCCTGGTTTTAGGCTCCTCTGTAGTTCACAAAACTCCTGCCGAACTCTGTAGGTGCCCGAATTCCCTCGGTGCCTCAATTTCTGCCTCGGAGCACATGTACTGCTGCCTCCCTCTGGGCATCCTGATGCCTATCTCCTGTCTACGCCTGAGAGCAATGCACACATTGGGGGAAGATCAGTCTTGTTAGGGCCTGGGCCAGTGGGTGTGCCCCGAGGCTGCCTGCTGGATTGGGTCCCATTCAAAGTCTGGCTGGGCAGAGGTTGCTACCGCAGCCTCCCTTAAAACTGTTAGCCTCATGGGTAGCGCACTCGCCAGGGATGTGGCAGACTCCCGCTTAAATCCTCTAAGGAGAGTGCTCTAACCACTGGGCGATGGGAGACTCTGGGGTGAGGCCCTGTCAATCTCTCCTGCTACATCTAAAGAATTAGTCATTGGAGCAGGGGGTTGGACCCTGGGTCCCCCTGACTGCCCAGTGGGTGCCATAAGCACTAGGCAACAGAGTCATTCTCTCTCTCTGGCCCAATGACTCATTATTTATATTGTTTATAAAGAACCCCAAAATCCAAGAGTCTGGAACTAGAGTCCAGGGGCCAGATTACTCCCCCAAGATGTGAGCACAGTGGCCCCGGAGTGTTTCTGAAAAAGCCACAACAAGGGGTGGGGGACCCTGACCTGGAAGGGCTCCAGCCTCACCTTACTTCTTTGCTCTCCGAAGTTCTCCTTCTCACTCCATACACATTCCCCATGTAAGCTGCCTTCCAGCTGCTAGTTCAGTGTCGTCTTTGGCCAGCACCCAGGAGACAGCGACCCAGGGCTAAGGGGTGAACCACAAGCCGCTGTGGGAAGGCAGAATAGAAACTGGCTGTGGGAAGAGAGGGTTGGGTTGTGTCATTTTGGAGGGACGGGATGCAGGAAGGCTAGTGGGTGTGGTGGGGGGAAGGGCAGCACGTTTGGTGGGGTGTATGGGGGAAGAGAAAGGAGAAGAAGTGAAAATCAGTGTATTTGCCTTCATTTCCCTATGCAGTTCACTGAGAAGGAGCACACCTGTCCCGTGCTGACAGCTCCTTTGCAACTGGAGGAAAGTTAGAGGAGGAACTCTGAAACCCCAGGGGGAGGTGCTCATGAGGCTGTCTTCAGCTCCTGAGCCATAAAACATTCCACTTGAGATTCAGAGTTCAGACTACAGAAAACAAGTGCAGCAGAGACACTTCTATCATGTCAAGCCAAGCAACAGGTAACCCAGCTGTTCCTTCCTGTCTAATGACTCAAGAGCTGTTACATGGCAAGAAAATAAAATCTAACTTCTCAATGGTGATTGTTTTCATGAATAGAGGGCCGTGGATCAGATTCCCACAGCAAGCTAGACCGGTTCACAGAATGGTATGTAATGCTGGGGGCAGCCCCTTTTTATTAGTGAGCATGAACGAGTGAGTGTGAGTGTGTTTTGAAGAGTTGGAATTACTCTGATTTGTGGCTGTTTCATTTCATCTAGGCAGTTGCCATTGAAAAAATCATCATCCCAGACCTGTTGCGTGTACCTTTCTTTCTTTTTTCCTCTCCATGTGCATTCTGGAACTGTCAGTCACTCCTAACCGAGGTGTTCGCTGTTAGCAGACCAGATTTAAATTCCTCTTTACAGAGGATGCTAGGTTGCTCTGGGGAGCTTTGTTAACAATCAGTCAATAATTAATGATCACTACTAATATTTTCATAAATTTACATAGTGCTTTAAACCATAGAGTAAAATACTTTCCCTGCTCTGTATTCTGCATTACTTTCTAGTGTCCAAGATATTATTGTGCAACAGCACCCAGATAAAATCACAAGGTTTCCTGTTAACCGTGTCAGTGCTGTGTAGCATACCAGGTACACAGGGGAAATCCACTGCCTGGGCTGCTCCCTGTACCTGCGTGGTCCTTGTTCATGGCACTGCCAGCATGGCCCTGCCAAGGGCTGAAAGTTAGGGGCCGGCGAGGGAGGTGCTATTCCGAGCTGGATTTGGTTTAGGCTACCACTCAGGTTCATGTTGCGGCTGTATCCTCAGGGCTAGCATTTGAGGTTTGGTATGAGGCTGCATCAGCGCCAGGGTTCAGGGTCAAGCCCCCATCAGGTCTAAAGCTCTTGTCTTGATTTTATGAACGTCACCAGGCTGGCCTCCTCCCCGCTGCCCCCTCACGGCTAGAGGTTGCTCTGCAGGTGGCCTGCCTTGCCTCAGTTTACCCCTTCAAGGGATTTCCTCAATAATTCACAAACCCTTTGACCCTTCTCAGCTTCTGTGTTATTAAATTAATAAACACTTAACACAAAGTTTTCAAGTCCCTCTCTTCTCTGCTGGAGCTTACGCATTGCAAACTCCCTTGCTCTGCAGCTTCCTGCTGCTCTTCTAAGGGAATCGAGTGACCGCCTCTAGCCCACCCTGTTAAAATGACACTGAAATCTCACAAGTGGTAAGGTTGAAATGTCTGTGAGATCAGCTTCTCTCCTAAGATTCTGGCCACATCTGAATCAGAAAACAAACACCTTTTAACTGAAACCATCCAAGTGGATTTGGGATTCAGGGACTTGAATCTGACCTCCCCCCTTTGGCACACATCGAAAGGGGCAGGGACATGAATCACCAGACTTTATCGCTAACAGCACACGTAACAACACCTGTCAATTGCAGGCTGCTGCAGAAGCTCAGTTACATCAGCGTGACAACCGGCCATGACGAGTACATGAAAGAGATTGGAGAGAGGCAGCAGAGGTGAGAGCCGGGAGGTATTTAATCAGGGAATGACAAGGGTGGGCTATTCCCCCTCTAAATCAGTACATTGCTCTTAGGAAGTGGGGGGCCCTTCCCACTGGCTTGAGCCAGGCACAGAGAGGTACAGGGCACTGACAGGGCTCAACTTCTGCTGCAGGCCTGCCTGGCTTCTGAGCAGTGGCAGTATGCAGCAGCAGCCGACTCCACTGGCCAGGTGTGCTAGGCACAACACCAAACTCAGCTCATGTCGTACCTGCTCCTGCCAGGGCCTCAGCACCTCAGTGCTCTGTGCTAGGGATGTGGAACAGAGCAGTAGCAGATTCCGCAAAGCCCAGCTCGTGCCCAACAACGGGACAGAGCAAGGGCGATTCTAGCTCCTTTCCAACAGAGAGTGTTGCTTTGACTTGTTCTGGAGCTGCCACTAGCGTTCAGTGGTCTCCCCACACTGCACGGGACCAGGACGGCCGAGGGCCTCTGTCCTTCTCTTGCAGTTTAGCCTGTTACCCTTTGCCATGCTATCTAAGCACCAGTTCTCCACTGCTCTAGCCCTGGACACTCTAGGGAAATCAGTGCTGAAGGTGGGTTAATTAAAACAGGACAAAGGCCTTTTCAGCCCCACTACAAAAAGCATTTGAGACTTCAGGGCCGCAGCCCACTCCTTCCTGTCTAGACTAGTAGTTAAACCTCTCAGCACCAGCTCAAGAGCATCCAGTGCTGATGAACATTTACAGTCTCCCAGTGGAGGCTGGGCTTTTGTTAGTCTGGACAAGGCCTGAGAGACAGACATTTTTCTTCAAATACTTGACCTCTGAGCTACCACCAATGCAGCTCCCCCTGTGGTAACAATGACAGGAGTGCTAGCGTCCACCAGCATCTTAACCAGTGTGTTATCTGGACCTGCTCTGAACAGGTGGCTAAACTACCTATGCCTGGTCTTTGTGAGAATTGCTACCACCAGGGAAGCAGTACATGTCCTAGCAATGGGGGGACACTGGAGTTGTAGCAATGACCTCCAGCATTTGGACAGGGTTTGGATGCTAAGACTGATGTAGAAGGTACACTGACTTCAATTTCTGTCTCATTGCAGGAATGGGGATTTGAACTGCGAGAGATTAGTGCAACGTGCACCAGCCACGGCAGACACTTAAAAGAATATTATTCTTTCCTACAGCTTATACTGTAGTGTATGTAGTATATTTTTGCTACTCTGTATAGTGTTTCTCATGCTTGGCCTCCTATAACAAAAGAAAATTAGAAAGTGGGGAGTGATTGGGGAGATGGGGGCGGGCTGGACAAGTGATTTAGAAAGTAATCCGAGCCGAACTGAAAAAAAATATTTCAAACTGACTGAGCCAAACCTGGAAAGCTGCACAAAACAGGAAGGGAAGGAAAAGAACAGACAAAATAAATAAGAAACAATTGGGGAAAGAGAAACAGGGGACACAGGCTGTGGGGGATGAGGACAGTGTTCATGAAGCGGGACACATAGGCAGTAATTTTAAAGCAGAAAGAAGCTAATGGAGGCAATTCTCATTTTCCTTTGCCTTCCCAATTATAAATAGTCATTGAGAAGAAACAGCCCCAGGATCCATTTTTCATAAGTTTTCATGGCAAAAAATGTAACTAGACAGAGCAGGCAGTGGTAGGTGTGGCTACTGTTGCTTGAGACGTCTCACTCTGAGACCCAGTTAAAAACTGTACCGTGATGCACAGAAACAAGGGGCGGGCAATTAAAGCTGTGAGGCAAGCTGAAGTCTGCCATTTCCTCACGTTTGTTGCTTGACGTGGAGCCGATTGGCTTTGTGAATGTAACGTGGGACGTATGCTAAATCAGTGCAATGAATCACATAAATATTCTAAACTGGAGGAAGCTCCAGCCTCCTGCTCTGGGAAGCAATTTAACAGCGGTCTCAGGAGAGGCACCCCGCTGGCCATGGCGGGCACTAGTGGTCACCTACTACAGGACAGGCCTAACAAAGAAAATAACAGAACGCCACTAGCTGTCACCTTCAGTCCCCCACTAAAACCCCTCCAACGCATTATTAAGGATCTACAACCTATCCTGAAGGATGACCCAACACTCTCACAAATCTTGGGAGACAGGCCAGTCCTTGCCTACAGACAGGCCCCCAACCTGAAGCGAATACTCACCAGCAACCACATACCACACAACAGAACCACTAACCCAGGAACCTATCCTTGCAACAAAGCCCGTTGCCAACCGTGTCCACATATCTATTCAGGGGACACCATCACAGGGCCTAATAACATCAGCCACACTATCAGAGGCTCGTTCACCTGCACATCTACCAATGTGATATATGCCGTCATGTGCCAGCAATGCCCCTCTGCCATGTACATTGGTCAAACTGGACAGTCTCTACGTAGAAGAATAAATGAACACAAATCAGATGTCAAGAATTATAACATTCATAAACCAGTCGGAGAACACCTCAATCTCTCTGGTCACGCGATTACAGACATGAAAGTTGCGATATTACAACAGAAAAACTTCAAAACCAGACTCCAGCGAGAGACTGTTGAATTGGAATTCATTTACAAATTGGATACAATAGAGACTGGGAGTGGCTAAGTCATTATGCAAGGTAACCTATTTCCCCTTCTTTTTTCCTACCCCCCCCCCCTTCCTCAGACGTTCTTGTTAAATCCTGGATTTGTGCTGGAAATGGGCCACCTTGATTATCATACACATTGTAAGGAGAGTGGTCACTTTAGATAAGCTATTACCAGCAGGAGAGTGGGGTGCGGGGAGAGAAAACCTTTTGTAGTGGTAAGCACCCATTTTTTCATGTTTTGTATGTATAAGAACATCTTCTGTATTTTCCACAGTATGCATCCGATGAAGTGAGCTGTAGCTCAAGAAAGCTTATGCTCAAATAAATTGGTTAGTCTCTAAGGTGCCACAAGTACTCCTTTTCTTTTTGCGAATACAGACTAACACGGCTGTTACTCTGAAACTAGTGGAAGTGTGCATCTGAGCGGAGCCACTTTACATTTTGGTCAGCCACGGTCTGATTGAAGCTTTCCCTGGCCATTATCTGGAACGCACCACTGGCCACTCACGGCTTAGGGAGACATAGCTCTGTGTGGAGCCGCGTAACTGAGCAAACGTGGCCCAGAAGAGATATAGCAAATGAGCCTAAGCAAATAAAACACTCGAAAGGACGTGGGGAGCTTTGCTGATGTGCACTCAGCTCTCCTGTGAGCTTCTGAAGGGTTCGTTTGCTTAGCTGCCTTCTGAGAATCCCAGCCACTCCCTCACTGCAGACAGTATCCCCGGGTGTTCAATAACTTGGATTTACCGTAACCCAGGTATATGAGTGCTCAGGGAGTTCATCGTGCTAACCTGTGTGGAGCTACCCAACAGAGTGAGCCCACAGGCAGTTGTACCATGGGTAGGTGAAGGGGGGTGACAGTTACACTCAGGATACAACTCTTCAGGGTTCTGGCTCTGACCACGACAACAGGAGGTGTGGGGCGCAGGACGTGGTTTCAGTGCTGCAGTATCAGCATGGGAGAGTTCCTGTGCCTGGAGGTGGGTTTTTTTGCCAATATGGAGGAGGACTGGATGTCATACAAGATGATCTGGATGACCTTGAAAACTGGAGTAATAGAAATGGGATGAAGTTTAATCATGCAAAGTCATGCACTTTGGGACTAAGAACAAGAATTTTTGCTGTGAGCTGGGACTTATCAGTTGGAAGTGACAGAGGAGGAGAAAGACCTGGGTGTACTGGTAGATCACAGGATGACTGTGAGCCGCCAGTGTGATGTGGCTGTGAAAAAGGCTAATGCAATCCTAGGATGCATCAGTGAAGTATTTCCACTAGAGACAAGGAAGTCTTAGTACCATTATACAAGGCATCATCTGGAATATTGTGTGCAGTTCTGGTCTCCCATGTTTAGGAAAGATGAATTCAGACTGGAACAAGTGCAGAGAAGGGCTACTAGGATAATCCGAGGAATGGAAAATCTACCTTATGAGAGGAGACGCAAAGAGCTTGGTTTGTTTAGCCTAACGAAAAGACGGTTGAGGGGAGATATGATTGCTCTCGATAAATACACCAAAGAGATAAACACCCGGGAGGGAGAGAAATTACTTAAATTAAGGGCCAATCGTGATAGGGCCACAAGAACAAATGGCTATAAACTAGCCATCAACAGGTTTAGGCTCAAAATTAGATGACAGTTTCTAACCATCAGAGGAGCGAAGTTTTGGAACAGTGTGGGCAAAAAAACTAACTGGCTTCAAGAATGAGCTCTTTAAGGAGGGGATGGTGTGATGGGACTGCCCACCATTGTAGCCGATCTGCGACTGCTAGCAGCAAATATCTCCAATGGCCAGTGATGGGACACTAGATGGGGAGGGCTCTGAGTTACCACAGAGAATTCTTTCCCAGGTGTCTGGCTGGTGGGTCTTGCCCACATGCTCAGGGTCTAACTGATCACCATATTTGGGGTCGGGAAGGAATTTTCCCTCAGGTCAGATTGGCAGAGACCCTGGGGGGGTTTTCACCTTCCTCTACAGCATGGGGCATGGCTCACTTGCAAGTTTAAACTAGTATCAGTGGTGGAGTCTCTGTACCTTGAAGTCTTTAGACCATGTTCTGGGGACGTCAGTGACTCAGCCAGAGGTTAGGGCTCTGTTACAGCTGTAGGCAGGTGAGGTTCTGTGGCCTGAAATGTGCTGGAGGTCCAGACTAGATGATCAGGATGGTCCTGTGTGGGCTTAGAATCTATAATTTTATTTCATCAAATTTCTCAGGCTGCCCTAGTGTGGGCAGGAGCCCTAAGTGCTAGGATGGCTATGCTGCATCCCATGCTCTCCAGCCAAACCCAGCTTAGGAGCTCGCATGACCCTAGGATTGCCAACTTTCTAATGGCACAAAACCAAACACCCCTCCCCTGCCCCTTCTCCAAGGCCCCACCCCCACTCACTCCATCCCCCATCCCTCTGTCGCTCACTCTCCCCCACTCTCCCCAGGCTGGGGTAGGAGGTTGAGGTGTGGGGTGTGTGTGTGGGGGGGAGGTAGGGGGTGAAGGCTGCAGCTGGGGGTGTGGACTCTGGGGTTGGGGTGAGGGGTTTGGGGTGCAGGAGGGGGATCGGGGCTGGGGCAGGGGGTTGGGGTGTAGGGAGTGAGTGAGTGAGGACTCCAGCTGGGGGTGCAGGACCTGGGGTGGGGCAGCACTGAAGGTTTTGGGGTAGAAGAGGGGGCTGGGGCATGGTATGGTCAGGGTGTGACCTGCAGGAGGGAGTTTGGGTACAGGAGGGGACTCCGGGCTCGGGCAGGGGGTTGGGGTGCAGGGTCCCGGCAGTGCTTACCGTGGCTCCCAGGAAGCGGCCGCCAGCTCCCTGCAGCCCTTCACCACATCGGCAGCCAGGGAGGCTCCACGCACTGCCCTTGCACCCACAGATGCTGCCCCCGCAGCTCCCATTGGTCAAGGTTCCCAGCTAATTGGAGCTGTGGGGCTGGCCCTGGAGTGGGGCCAGCATGCTGAGTGTCACTGGCTGCCCATGTGTGTAGGGACAGCAGGGACCTGACGCCCGCTTCTGGGAGCCGTGCAGAGCTAGGACAGGAAGGGAGCCTGCCTTAGTCCCCGGCTTGCAACTGGATTTTAAATGGCCCAGTTGGCAGCGCCGACCGGAGTCACCAGAGTTACTTTTTGACCAGGCGTTCCAGTCGAAAACCAAACACCTGACAACAGTACGGCACCCTCCCACCTGCTGACCCAGAGTAGCATTGGCCATGGACATCACTATAAGGACAAAAAGAAAAGGAGGACTTGTGGCACCTTAGAGACTAACCAATGTATTTGAGCATAAGCTTTTGTGAGCATGCATCCGATGAAGTGAGCTGTAGCTCACGAAAGCTTATGCTCAAATAAATTGGTTAGTCTCTAAGATGCCACAAGTCCTCCTTTTCTTCTTGCGAATACAGACTAACAGGGCTGCTACTCTGAAAACTATAAGGAGAGTATCAGAGAACTGGACACTTTGAAGGAGGTGTGACATTGTACTCTATACGTTTATGGAAATATGCTTATGAGTGTAAATATGACATAACTGGAATATGCTTTGTGCTAGATATGCCATGTAACATATCTTTGCAAAGGTTATGACCTACTAAATATATTCATCCTATTTGTATACTTGTATCGTTTTTATATCTGAAGTTATGAGCATTGGCTCTATGCTTGTATTTTAAGTGTTTGCCCAACATATTTGTGAAGGGTCTATTCAAGTAATTGGGAGCACTTAACTAACAATGGACTTTGGGAGACGCCAATCCACATCTGAGCTTTCCTGGGAATGTTCAAACTAACATGTAAACAATGGCGTTGGCCTGCAAAAAGCTAAATCATTCATAGACATGTGACTTGCTCAGGTGGCTGCAAACTCCATCTTGTTGCTGTGATTTTGCATAGAAGAACAAAGGGGTTTCTGCCCATAAGAGAGAGACAATGAAAGGCCCTGGAAACCTCTCCATTTTGTCTTCAGCTGGCTCAAGAAATGGCCTCTCCGCCCCAAAGAGATGCCTGAAAGTAACTGGAACAAGGGACTGTAAATATGGGGGTGTGAGTGATTACTGGACCCAGGCCATCAACTACAACGTTGGTCTGAAAAGGATTGTACCTGAGATAACATCTAGGGTGAGAAGTTAGTATTTGTAACTAGATCCTAAGTGTATTAAGTTAGCCTTGCATATTTTGATTGATTTTACTTAGTAATTTACTTTGTGCTGTGTGTTATTACTTGAAATCCCTTAAATCCTACTTTTTATACTTAACAGAATCACTTTTGTTTATTAATTAACCCAGAGTAAGTGATTAATCCCTGGGGGAGCAAACCACTGTGCATATCTCTCTATCAGTGCTATAGAGGGCGGACACTTTATGAGTTTACCCTGTATAAGCTTTATACAGAGTAAAACAGATTTATTTGGGGTTTGGATCCCATTGGGAGCTTGGTGTCTGGGTGCTGGAGACAGGAGAACTTCTTAAGCTGTTTTCAGTTAAGTCTGCAGCTTTGGGGTCTGTGGTTCAGACCCTGGGTCTGTGTTGCAGCAGGCTGGCATGTCTGGCTCAACAAGGCAGGGTTCTGGAGACCCAAACTGGCAGCGAAAAGGGGCTCAGAGGTAGTCTCAGCACTCCTCTGTAATTGGGCCTGGCCCACTCACAAGGTGCAACCAGGTGCCCTAACTGAGCTCTCCAGCTCTGGTTAACTCTTTCAGAGCTAAGATGGGGGATACATCCCATTACACCTCCCTGTGGGGACCAGGGCATGGGCAATCAGGCCTAATGGTTGGAGTCAGGAGCCTGGAACCAGAACCAGCTGCCAAGCCAAAGGGCAGAGCCAAAGGTCCAACCCCAGCACCAGGGGTAGGGCATAGGACCATACGGCATAGGGCTCTAGTGGGTAAGAAAGGGCCTCATAAACATTCCTGGAACCAGTGAGAGTCCTGCCCATTCTCCCAAGAAAAAGTCATAAAACCTAAGTGGGAGGGGGATGACATCATGAAAGGGCTTTGCAGGCAGAGAATCTAGTGGCAAATGGGACTCAGAAAGTAGGCGAAGTCTGAGAAGCTTCAGATTAGCTGGCTGACTGCCCAACCTGTCCCTGATCCCTGTGTCAGTGCAGGGACTGAGAACAGGCTATTGGAACTTACTGGGTTCATGGGGTACCAGAACAAGACACAGAACAGTCATGGACCAAAGCCAAATGAAACAGAAATAATCCACCAACTGCTGGACAAAGTAAATTGTGAGACCAAAGCCCCTTGCTGCTGGGCTCGGAGCATTTCACCCTAGGAACTATCAGCAGAACCAACTCAGCTGATCTCTGCTGCCTTCATGATGTACAGAGCAAGAGGTGTTGCCCAGATAGCCAGATCCCCACCTTCCTGGGCTCCAAAGAGCAGCTCTAGCATGTGGGGCCCAGGTGCAGATAGCAA